CCATCCAACGGGATATAAAAGAGATGAAATGAAATCATCCAACTATGTTTGTAGGATGGTAATGGGTCGGGTTGGGTCAGAGACATATAGTGTATATCCGTTATTCTATCCGAAATAGTTCGGGTTTTATCCATATCCATACTCACCTAAGAAATGGATAGAAAATCAAAACCGTGTCCATACCCGTTCGGGCTTTGGGTATCCACGGCTACCATGGATAATAATTTCTCTCTAAAACTCCAACCAATATGTTAACATTCACATATATAGTCACATTACATAAGAAGAAACGTATAACAATAAATCATTAGAATGAAGAAAATTAATTAAAACAACACAATTTCATGAAAATTTTATATTTGTATGCTAAATATAAAATATGTTAGAGAAAAAAATGATTATTTCTAGACTAAATACACATGCATGTGCATAATCGGGCGGGATCGGGTTGGTTAGTGAGAAAACAATGCTCACCCATTACCCACAATATTCGGGTTCGGATTTTACCCGTACCCACTAAAAGTCTTTCGGGTTTGAGTTTACCCTACCCAATTAGATCGGATTGGGGCAGATATCCACGGTTACAAATATTTTTGCCATCGATGTTACCAAGCGGCAGCAAAGATTTTGGCGTCGGAGGTGGAGGATTCATGAGAGGCAGAAAACGACTAGGGTTTGAGGCTGGAACATGAGTGTTTGGCCTTAGTCTGGGCCCTATTGGGTTCTGGATCGTGTTTTGCTTTGGGCCACTTGTTTTGGCTTTATTGTTGGTTGTTTCCTTGCTGTACTTTTCCATTTGGGTCTGATCCGTTCGCATTCTTAATGAACAAACCATTTAAAAAAAAGTACTTAGTCCATCTTCATTACCAACTTTTAACAATTGGTAAAGTGAGATAGAATTTATGTGGCAAAATCATGGCAATGGTTAGAGATGGAAGGGTTCTTGCTAAATTAGCAATTGTTCTAGCAATGTCATATGTGTAATTATTTTTTTCTTGGTTATTAATTTTTCAATTGAGAAGTGTGTGTAAATTTATTTTAGTAAGTGGGACCCATTTTGCAAATTGCATTTTGAGGGATGTTGATGAACTTGCTAATGCATTTTAACGTGGTAGTACTGTTCAGGATCCTGTTTTAAAGGGTATCTTCTAGATTGCCATTTGTAAGCATAAAATTTTTGTTCTGTTAAAATGACTGAGAATTCTGATAATTATCATAAATGTTCACAAACCTTTACACTAAATATAACATGGTTACAAAACTTCAATTTGTAACAATATGGTAATAATTTTTTTTTTACTTAGCACAAAATGGTCAAAAATTAAACAGTGTGACCATTTCATACAAGTTCAAACTTTTGATATTAAACTTTTGGTGACTATTTTGTGCAATGTTCAAAGGTTTGAACGATCAATCACTATTACAATTCGCTCCAGTCAAGGTATGATGTCTTTGTTAATTTATGTGAATGATATGATCGTAACAAAGGATGTCAGTGAAGGAATTCAACGACTCACGAACGGGTTACAAACTGTTTTTAAGTTGAAAAAACTCAGTCTACTTTCTTTCTTTCTCAGTATTGAAATTGAAAAGTAAACATATGGCATTCTTATTCAGCAAAGCAAGTAGATCGATGAACACACGACCTGACATCTCATATGTTCTTCAAGTGGTTAGTGTCATATACTTGACGAACACAAGATCCAACCTCAAAACGGTCACAAATCTTAATTTATAACGACTCGATAACAAACTTTTGCAATTAACACAAAACGTTCACACATTAAATAGCAATCACCATTTCATACAATATTAAACTTTTGTTACCATATCGTTACAAATTAAAGGTTTGTGACCATTTTGTATTAATTGCAAAAGTTAGTAACCGTTTATGCTAATTAACCCTAAGAATCCTCTTGAACTTATCAAGTAGGGGTTTGAAATTCATGCTCACATTTACCCTTGATCACAATCTTGCTTAAGTGGAATAAGTTCAGTTCTGTATTTAGCTCTCTCTACTGAAATGCTCTAAGGTTATGAAAACAGTTCACTTTCTAAGATAGGATGGACGCCTAATTAGATTCATAACATGCGATTAAGTTTACACATAGAGCAAGTCAATGGAACATGCCAAAGAAGATGATCTTGCTCCAAACTGAGATGAGAAAACAAAAGGTTGATTATGTAATGTATTATGGGAAGCAGTGGCGGATACATGCATGGTTAGGGGTGTCCCGGGATACCCCTAAAATCTGGAAACACGATTATTCAACATACGATAGTAATTTACGTATGAGAAAAAAATGTTTAAGTGGTAGTGGGACACCTTTAAAATTTGAGAAAATGATTATCCAATCTCCCGTAGTAGTTTGCGTATTGGTATAAAATAAATAATATTTAAGTAGTAGTTCATGTGATTTAAATTTGGGACACTGCCACTATTAGTTAATATATTTTCAATTACGCTACAACTCATTTGTTATTGTGTTTTAGATCCAAATATAATAGTAAAATGTTATTCTTATCTCAAATTATTTTCAAAACCTAACGATTAAACTCAATTACGGGATATCCTTGTCTAGTAAGATATGTCGAGAGATATTTGTTGAGCAGTATAAACACTGAATGCATTTTATCATTTGATGAAACACATATGAACTTTTAATGAAACTTTTATTAGTTAAACATTTTCATATTTAATAATTATAATATTTAATTTAATTTAATTTTGTATAAAAGACACCCCTACGTAGAATTCCTGGATCAGCCACTGATGGGAAGCGCATCTTTTTTTTTTTTTTTTTGCATTCAAGGGAGGCCGAGGCCTAACAGACGGGGTTACAGAGAAGAAGAAGGACGCGTCACAACACGACGCTCAAAGGAAATACCCATACAATCGTCAATAAGAATTGGAGCTAACGCTGGCGGTGGATCAACAAGTTCATGCATACCCAGGGGATAGACGAGACTGTGCTTCGAGAGCCAGTCCGCGGCTCTATTCCCCTCACGATACACATGTCCAATGCTGACCAACCAATCCTGCGCCAAGCTCCTCCGGATCGAGGCCAACAAAGCAGCATAGGGATGAACTGGGTCATGACGACTCTTAATCAAAGTGACAGCCATCTGAGAATCTGACTCAATAAGAACACAAGCACATCCTGCTTTCCTGGCGAGTTGGAGGCCATAGTAAACAACCCAGAGCTCAGCAAGAGTTGCAGAGGCTTCGCCCACTTTAGCAACGAAACCCCGCACCCACTTCCCATGCTCATCACGGATAATGCCCCCAGCTCCGGCAAGTCCAGGGTTGCCCATCGACGCCCCATCCACGTTAAGCTTGACCCACCCACTACGAGGAAAACTCCAGTGAATTTGAGTCTCCACCCTCTCCGGCTTGGATCCCTGACGTCCAAAATTCACTGTTGGGGCCTGCCAAGCTTTATGCCACAAGAGAGCCCTTTGGTGTATGGAGAAAGCAAGCGAGGGAGCTGTCATCGCCTTGTGCAGCCCCTGGAAACAACATGTACACCTGTTCTTCCAAATAAGCCACAAAGCAGTACTAAAGAAACTGTTCCAATTCATACCAGAGTCCGTCGCATCCTCCTTGAGAATATTTTCCCGGAACCAATCCTCACAGCTGCGGCTGAAAAAACTCTGTTGTTCCTCTTGCGGAATCCATCTCAGCCAGCAGAAACGAGCGGGGTAACAGTCCCGCAGCACGTGCAGGATGGTCTCTTCATAATTCCCGCATCTGTGGCACATGGGGGACTCCGCACACTTACGGGAGTAGCGGAGAGCGTTAGTCGCAATGCGCCCTAGAGACACCAGCCACACAAACACCCTGACTCTCTCAGCTACCGGGAGCTTCCACATGGTTTTCCACATCTTCTCATTCGGATCATTCCTCGGAGGCAATGCCAGGCTGTAGGCAGAGGAGGTTGAGAACTGACCATTCGAGGAGGCGGTCCACAGAATGGTGTCATCATCCGGGGATGGGAAGCGCATCTAATGTTCAATTATATGGTCTATTGAAGTATTGCAAGACAATTAATTACTTGTATTCGTTTTCCATTGAATAATTCTATTAATTTCTTAGACCTTATTTCTCTTCTTATTCTTATATTCTAAGCACATTATACATAGACATTGCAGCATTTCCAAGCATTTAATATATCCATTATTGTATACTATTCAGGCTAACCTAGGCTTGGAAAAGAGCTGAGCCGAGCTGATATTTACACCAGTTTGAGTTCGACTCATTAATAAACGAGTTGAGCTCATCCATTAACGAGCCGAGTTGAGTTTAAGCTAGCTTGCTTACTAAAATCTTAACTCATATTTGATATATTCATTTTATATGTCATGTATGATACATGTGATTAATGTCAAGATGAAAAAAGTAAGTGTTAGATATTAATTAATCTCATGTTATACTTTATGATATCATTTATTTAGTAAATAAATTCTAACTAGTCAAAATTATGTTTTTCATAGTATCAAAACAATCTATGATCCATAATTTCTTTTTAAAATTAAATAAGACATTTGCTCACATAATCTACGTGTTAAACTTCATATAGGGTAAGATACATCATTAGAAAATTCTATGAATTATCGAAATCAAACTCATATGGATCGATTCGTTCATAAGTCGGTAATCGAGTCGGCTCTCTAGCAACAACGTTGCGAGCTCTAAACGAGCCAGCTCACGAAGTTGAGCTCAACAACCTACCGAGTCGAGCTAGCTCTCGAGCTTCCCGAGCTACAGAAGGCTTAGCTCAAACTCGACTAATTAAAGTCGAGTTTCGAACGAGTTTTCCCGATTGTGGCCCTAGTCTAACCTATCCCGGCAAACAGGCCCTAGTTCTTACAAGGCCCGTTGCGCAAATCAAAAGACAAAAAGCCCAACAAGAAAAGAAAGCCTGCACTGCAATTGCCTCAGCCAAAACCTATATAAAAAAAAACTGAACAACCCCTCGGCCCTCGCTCAGCCAAACGAAACATAACCTCAAGCAGAGAAAGCAAACCCTAGGGTTGGTGGAATCGAAATCGAGGGCTCCCTGTTCTGAATGCTGATGATGACCGGAGGCGGGGAATCAGGGTCAATGGCGCCGGTGATGATGACCGGCGATTCATTAGAGTACAAGAATCCGGCGACTGAACCCAAATGGAAAGGTAAAACCCTTTACTTGACGTTTACGGATACATCGATTCGGGCGATTAAGGTTTTTGAAGATAGGTACAATAATTTGGGGGAAACCCGCGTACCAGAGCCTGTTTGTAAGCTGGATATGCACAATGATTGTGCTTTGCCTGTTGGAATGGGCCTCTTCAAGCTTAATAAGAAGGTTTATTTCGTCGGCGGAGAAACTACATCTCTGAAAGACCCTTTCATAACAGATCGTTTCATGCGCGCCGAGGCCTCTAAATTCTTTCAATCAAGTGACAAAGTCTATGAATTTGATCCTTCAGATCTGCCTAACAACAACACCTGCTTCCGCGAGATCCCTGATTACTGCCTGCCGATCCCTACGCCACAACCGATTGTTGCAAACATCCGGGGGAAAGTATACGTGCTTAGTGGAGATCATATCTCTGGGAAACCTGGATGCCCAGAGAAACCTGAAGTATCCTTCCAGGTTATGGAATTCAATCCTCTTTCGAAATCGTATCATTGGAAGACACTTCCTCTTCCTCACTCCTACATTGAAGACTACACATTCTTTGGACATCGGACGCTCAACATTGGTGTCATCGGCCACAGGCTGTTTATTGCTCAGCATCCTATGGGTCGTGGCAAGCTTCTTCATATCTTTGATGCCCATACACAAAGCTGGGAGTCTCGCGAAGACGGCTTCTGGCTCTTCCCTCCGCCAGCCATGACGTTGTCAAGTTTGCTAACCAGCAGTGGCCCCTATCACAAGAAGACCAAAATAAGTGATATCGGCCAGGGAAAGAAGGATAGTTATTTCATCGTCCTTGGTACCGAATGTCATTTTGATAGGTATGATCGTGTCTTTGCCGCAGTGGTTGATTTTGACGGAGTTATGTCCCATTTGCAATATCTACGGGATCCTTTACCGGCTGGATTTCGCCCACTTGGTGACTGCAAAGTGATTGACCTGTTGGAGGAGGATGAGCAGGACGACGATGGGCATTTGAGCAGCATATTCTGTGTGGTGTATATATCCTGCGATTCTGACCAGCTGGCTTTGTCAGTTTTCAGAGTGTCTTTGTTATCTCCAATGGTGGTCGCGACACCAACAGACGAGTCCCCGTACTTGTCCCGACAAGATAAAGGGGATGATGAATCCAGAGGAGGTGACTCCTTGCATGTTGAAATTCTGGAAAAACGTTACTATGCACTGGATGACGCCTACCCTGATGAACTTTCTGATGCCTTCTTCCTCTAGGTAACTAACCTTTTTATTACTGGTCAAGTACATTTCGTTTTAGCCCATGGTTTCCGTTTATCTATGTCGTTTGTTGGACTTGCACTATCACTACCGTTTTCACTGGATCAATCTTGTTGGTATCAGAAGGAAGACACGGTTCATCTGGCAGTTGAAAGGGTTTGTTGTTTGTAGTAGTTGTTCTTCTTTACCTCCTGGACGTGTCATGTTCGCTCTAACCTTGCTGTTAATTCTGTTCTATTTTGTTCAGTTCATTTGATGGACTGCAATCCGTTTGACATTTTCAGGAGAAGGAGCAGATCAAGATACTAGTGATTTTGACTTCTGATATGACTTCTGATTCGGGAGAACCTTGTGATACAAGGCAATGCGGTTTTATTAGCAATGTGACAGCATGTTATTTACCCGGCTCCTGGTTCTTCTTTATACTTCAGTGGCAAGTGATGATTGTATAGTATATGATTCTTCGCTGAGTGTGGAAGGAAACCACAATCAGATCAACGGCGAGAACCATCCACTTGAAATGCACTGTTTAATACTCGTGAATCGACTGTGTTTTGAGATCAGTTTGTCAACCTGCAAGTGGGCAGTCAGGTGCAGAATGGCAAGCAGAGCAGACCACCCAAGTTTTACCTATTGAGATGAACATAGTAAACTTTTAAGAGTTCGTTTGATCTATGGATTGCTGTGATAGACATTCTGTAGGCTCTAGTAGGCATGGAAATGTGAAGATTGGTCATAGGGTAGGTATAGTTTTAATCGAGTTCCACAAAACACTAAAGATACTCAATCTGAAGCGTAAGCATCTATCCGGGAGTAGCCAGGGCGGATTGACTTGCTCTTAGAGGGAGTTTTAGATAGAGATAAGTTTTCTTTAAGGAATTTGTTTGTCAAACCCTAGAGACATCTCCCCACAAAACTTTTTATTATTATTGCTTTGGCTGCAAGTCTCTTTACCGGGAAAAGATTTGTATGGTCGATAATTGTGAATTGTGATTAAGGCAAAAGCCAATAGTGTGTGGACAAGCAAAGTCAAAGGCTTTGTTTGATTGTGGAGTAAAGAGAGAAAGGAGGGATGAAAAGAGATGAAATGAAACTATCCAACCAGCAGTCGTGGCATTCACTTTGCTTTTATTTGGATTGATTGAAAAAATAAAGAGTTCAAAAGAAGAACATTTTCGGATGGAAAAATACATCAGCATGTTTGAAAACTCGTGAATCAAATTGAACTGTACATTGGTATGGACCATATAGATTATTAAAAATGGCTTGATTTGGTCTATGGTCTGCATTATGAACTGTTTTGATCTCTTGATATGGTCTAGTATAAACCGCAGTTTATCATATCAGATTATAGACCAAGCTCGCTTCTTAATTCGTATTAACAGCTACGCAACCACTTTCCTTACTTCCCTACAAAACTCAAGTCTCAAGCCTAATTTTGTGAATCCTGTCCCCTCCTTCCTCCTCCCCAGACTCCACTAGAGAGCATATACTATGATTCCTGAGTTGTTTTGTTATGATGGAAGATGAGTTGTTTTGACTTTATGACTTTGTTATAATCTGGTATAGACTTTAATTCCTAGTCTATGTTTGAGTTTCTCGATCTGGATCGAGACCATGTATATAATCTCATCCAGGACAAATTGCATTGTTTCCCTACCCTACTTTCTTTCACCACTCGTTTTCGTTTCTTCACACACACAACGCAACTCATCACCAGAGAATTCCTTACAAAGAGGACTTGTTATCACGGAGAAGAAACTTTTATGCACATCTAAAAGGAATTGGAAGAATATGAATCAAAACTTCAGCTATTTAGTTTCTTTTCTTTAATCTTTTTGAAGCTTTCTTTTCATTCGGTGGCAAAAATATGGTACATTCGTAACCCGTTATAGGTCATGAAATGGTATGTAGCTGATTGAAATCAAGATTTATATTACATCAGTGTAACATGACAATTTGGTTAGTCTTCCTAAAACATATTGTTGACTACGTTTCTTTTTTATGGTTCTTGTGTTTATATCTTTGTAACTCTCTTAGGTTCGTTTATCGTCAAGAATCATACTGATTAGAAACATCTCAATTTGACAAACATATGGGTGTTTTTTTTAAACATATGGGTGTTTTTTTTATACCTTTTTAAGATAACGATACTTTTTTAAGGGGTTTATATAATGTATGTATAGACCATCGAGTGTATTTATCCTCTTGATCCTAACATGCTTTGGTGTCTCATTCCTATCTAGTGCCCTTTCGATAATCATCCTTGCAAAACAAGGTATATATGTCCTTTTCTTCACCAATCGATCAAGCACCTTGTTCCTCTCCACCCACAATGATTCCATTCTATAGATCGAAACAATAGCCTCTTGTCTCTCTAGCTAGCACTCCAACAAAAAAGGGTTAAAGAGAAAGAGGAGGCAGAATCTACTAGCTCTACTTTATTCCCCATTTTGAGTCACACGCATGTCCTCCACTTTCTTACCTAGATAGCTAGATAGCTCCAACCCAATGGCAATGATATCAGTCTCGATAGGAAAGGGACGAGCAGAAGAAGAAGAAGAAGAAGAAGAAGAAGAAGAAGAAGAAGAAATGGAAAGTGAAATTTCATAGGGTGCATCTTTATATATAGAGAGGTGATGATCCACTGGTAATCACACGAGGGGAACATACCCTAATATAATTATGATCAACTGCCTTTTGTGTCCTTCACGAGCGTAAAGCATAATCGAGACTACTCACTTCTAAGTTGTAACAAAGGAAAGCAACTCTCTAGCAAACAAATCAGACGATGATATTTAAGACCCTCTTAGTTACTACGGCAGGGCGAGGACGTGGAGAGATTGTTAAATAACATAACATACTAACGGCTATCGTTGTTAAATATCTTGTTAATTTTTCCAATATAATTTTGTCTTCTTCACTTATCTTAGAAAAAAATCTAAGACCCTCTTATTTCAGTTTCAAATCAATATATTTTAGTTTACAACTTATTCACCCGAAGCACGAACGAGTAGGCGTACTTGTGCGGCTTAATTCATCAAATAGCGACCGATTATTAGAAATAAATGATGACACGTTACTTATCGCAACTACTTATTAGAAATAAATGATGTCTAGTGTGTACTTATTGCCCCATTCATGGGTGCTTAGAGCCCAAATCCTAATCACTATGAAGTATTCATGTTATTAGATATATCATATTAAATGACTAAAAGAGATTGTAATAGGCTATAGTTTAAACCTTAATCGCTAATCAACTGATAATTTTCTAAACTACGTACGTACCCTTAACACATACATGGCGATAAAATCCTTCCATTCATTAGAAAAAGAAAGGGGAAAAAATGGATAGTCAGTTTGTTGCAGTCTCAACTGTAGATCAAAGTACACACTAGTAAATTTGTAGGTCTCCCGCGCTTCGAGTGGGTCAATTACATAATATGATAACATGATGATGATGATATGTAGGTCTTAATTAGCATTATCATCTTTTGCTTTGTTTATTGTTAGACAACTAACCCCCTAATGTACCTAAACTAACATACCAACATTTACATTACTAATATAAAGAACTCCAACCAATAACACATATAAAGAAAGCAATCCACGGCTTCCTTCCAATTTCTTTCAACTTCAATACCCCAAAAAAAGTTCCCTCTCAACTTATTAACCTTTGTTAACACTGGATAAAAAGAAAATCTTCACAGTGATCATCAAAACGGCAGCGAACGAGAACTAGCGCGCTTAGCCGGCGAAATGTCTCAAGAGAAACGAGAGCTCCTGGATTTGAATATAATTTAAGCAAGAGCGTTAATCCCTTCAATAGCATTTCTCAGGGGAATGGAGGCCTTGTTCTGCCTTATTCTGACTCGCCTCCATGTACGAGCAGAGCTCAATCTCTTGGGCATCTAGACCGCCTGTTATGGTCCCATAGGCTTTCGTTTAGCGGTGCTACTGAATTTTCTTTCAACATAAAAAAAAACACTTCATAGTCATCATTAAAATTATAAGTTCAAAATGCCCTTTTTTATAATTCTATAGAGGATTCAAACTATCAAACTAATCTTAGATGATATCGTTATCCTTAATTATAAAATAAAATTGTTTGGTAAACCATACTTTACTAATGAAGGATAGAACTCCCCACAATTTACAAATCCCCCACTAGAAAACTAGCCTTTATCCATCCATGATGCCTATAAAGACATGCCTACAGCTAAGGGCGCCCTCCAATTAGGTTTATTTAGTGGAAATTATAGGGTTGATGGAGCACATGGGATGGTGCATAGCTTTCTCTCATGTGCTTTAATTCAAGCAATTTGAGACCCTCCTTTGTTAGATTATTATGTACTTAAGTATGAGGTCTTGTTAACGCAAATGTGATGCAATTTGCATTTGCTCGTCTTTGTAAAAGTGCCACTTTTGGAGGATACATTCATCCATGAACTTTCTTTAACCTCTCAATAATCTAGTCAGTATATTTGTTTCATACAAATGTAATTTGAGAAAAGAGGATATCATTGTTTAACCTCTTTTGGTTTCGATATCAAGATGTGATTCAAGTCATGCTTAATTGGTATGATCCTTTGATCACGAAGAGTTCTGTCTACAATAAGTGCATATGAATCTGTGTTTTACTTGAGCGCGGTCATACATTTCATTGGTAATCTCTATTCGAAAGGGAGGGTAAAATCCTATCATGCACTATCAAATGGAATGATCCTCTGATCACGAAGAGATCTGTCTACAATAAGTGCATATGAATCTGTGTTTCACTTGAGCGCGGTCATACATTTCATTGGTCGTATCTATACGAAGAGGAGGGACAAATCCTTTACATGTTTTGATTCCATACCCAATGACTATCTACCAGTACAACCTATTACGGGTCATGAATCATAGTATCAAAATATGATTGCTAAAATGTCAGTAAGATTGATATATGTTAGGTGAGTATGGGTTAAACATGCAAGAGATAGATGGGGATGGGATGGTGCTAGTTTTGGCTCCCCGGCCACATCCATACCCAATGCGGTTTTTATACATATAAAAAATATAGTGATTATAATGTAGTTTGATTTCTTATATATTAAAGTGCACTATACAGTTAGCACTTAGGTTTTGTGAGTGGTGTGTGCAAATTTTTGTGCTGCTAATTAATTAATTTCTTATTAGTTAGTTAATTAATTTGAATTTTGGTGAAATGGAATAACCCTTTTGAAGGGAAGTGTTTTTTTCACAATATAAGTCTGTTGTCACTACAACTATTTCTCCTACATTATTCTTCTTCATATTTTCCTTCTTAGGACTTACAAAAACAGAAATATGAAATCGTTGCTCTCAGATTTTCATTGAAGGTAGTTCTGGAGGTAATTTGCTTGAATTCCTACCAGCATAGAATAGTGAATGGTTTTGATGCTGCAATGGAGCTGCGATAGCAACTGCACTATGAGAGGATTGATGGGCTAATATTAAAATTGACTAATGGTCAAGTGTTTAAAAGGGGAACATAATGTAGGTTAGAGAAAGACAACATGACGGGAAAAACAAAAATTCAAGAAAGGAGTAAGAAATTTCCCCATAACATTGAGATTGAACAAGTTGATGTTGATAGTATTATAAATCAGTTAATTTTAATAACTCGAGTTGTTGGGAAAAGTTCAATTATGAATTTTATATCACTCTCTTACACGTCCTCTCAAAAAAGTCAATTGAAGTTTGCACAGACCCACCATACCTTGTGCTTTAATCAACTGTTAATATTGGGGGTCGTAAAGATTCGAACACACGACTACTTGGTCGAACCAGCTCTGATACCATGTCATAAACCAATTAATCCCAATAACTCGAGTTGTTGGGAAAGATTCAATTATGGATCTTATACCACTCTCTTACACATAGTCTATCTGTGAAAAATGTGCTAACAAGAGCGTTGAGTCATCAAATTGAGGTCGGGTACTCCACGTCATAAATTATCATTGCATCCCTTCAATGTAAACGAAACGCCCACGCACAGTTCGTATCTCGTGCCTATGGGATCGGTCTCACATATGGATTATGAACATCA